TCCGAATTCGGTGACTTTGAGATCTAGTTTAAAATAATACTTCAAAATTATCGGAATCTCAATATTTTTATCTGGGAAATAAACACTTTTTTGTTTTTGTTTTTTGTTTTTGCTTTTTGTTTTGTTGTTGTGTTTTTAATCGGAATCGCCCCAAGCAAGTCAGTAGTGCCACTAAAACACAAGGGGTTACAAGGTTGTAGAATAATTAGGAACAGAAACATTAATGACGAGCAGATAAAGAAGAGAGTAATCAGTTGGACAGTAGACAGCAATTGATACTGTATTTAAATTTTTGCAGATTAAACTTTGCTGAAAAATATGGATTCGGAAGGGAGTTTCACAAGCGAGAAGTGTGAGAAAAGAAACCGTTAGCATAGAACTTACGGTTACATCTAGGCAGCTCAACTGTAAATAGTTGAGATCTCGACGTCAGTCTAGTACTGCACTTAAATTCATAGAGTCTGGGTACCATAGCGATGAGCTCATCCGAACAATTACCATGAACGTATACATAGAAAAAACACAGAGAGGCAACCTTACGGCTGTGGGAAAGTGACTGAAGCTGAGACGCCAGATCAGGACCAATAATATTGCAGATTCTTCTTTGGATCATATCAAGGAGTTCAAGATAAATAGCAGAGGCACAGGATCATATATAGCAGCGATATTCTAAGCATGAGTTTTAGAAATGTAACTGATTTTTTTTAAAGTCCTTAACTCTCCGAACCATGGTAAAGGTAATATTAGCCGTTTCCCTATTCGGCATTCATTTACCGCGCAGGCAGTACTGTTTTTCGGATGAAATTCAAAAAATCTTTCCCTTAAAACAATTTTTAAGAAAATAGATTTCTCAAGTCCAGTAGCTGTTATCGCTCTTTCCAGTATTGACAGAGACTTCCTTCCAGACCTCCAATTTGAAGTTGTTAACATCATGATTATGTCATTATTTTCTCTCTGACTTTCATGTGCTATCCATTTTAATTGTTGCTGCTGTTGGTAGTCCTCACGTGATGGGGTTTCTGTTATTTGGTACAGTTCTAGCGCCAGTCCACAAAGAAGAATGATATTTGCCAAGACCCACAGGATTTACTCGTTCAAAGGCTTTTTGTACCATTGATCTTAGTAAGCGGTTGTATACATCTGACAGTTTAGATATTTCTGAAAGGGCTTGGCGCCATGCATGACATGCATATGAAAGTCTTCATTTAACGAGGTTATTTAAGTATATGACTCGAGTTTTCAGGTTAATGTTTTTGTTTCGTGGCAATTAGCGGTGTTGGGCAAAACTAACCCTGACACATGTTCAGTGGGGTGACTGAACACTCCACAAAATATATTACTTACTATTTAGCAAGTAGTAAATCAAATTTTAATGATAAGTCAAGTAAATTTCTGAATGTCTCTATCAATTAGCAACAAGTTTTAGTTATTTGGCGAATTTGATTTTTTTAAAACAAATTCATTTTTAATATTGACCTCTTAATTCGGTTTTTCAAAATAATAACTTTTTATTTATTCTATAGAAACCAGAAAGACGGCTCAAGACAATATATACAAGAAAACTAAGTACTAGATGATCTATCAATAATACTTTAAATAGCATTTTTGAAATCTCCACAGTACGATCCTGTGATGATGCCTTACAGCACTAACGGAGGGTTAAGTTTTTCTTGTTTTTGTTAAAAAGGATAAAGCTCAAAATTTTTGTCTAAAAAAATTTCATTAATTTTGACGTCCAATTGGATCAAAGAACAGATCTGGTATCGGATTGCGTATCACGTGAGAATATCGATTACATAACATAGATTAAATAACTGACATTGGGTTAAATTTAACATCAAAGTAAATTCAAATGAACACCCTGTGGCAGTAAGGCGTGCCCCTGTCATTCAGACAATAGAATTGTGTCAGCAACGACGATATTGTCGCTGGCTTATATGGAGTTTACGAAGAAAAATACTTTATTATTATTATTATTATTATTATTATTATTATTATTATTATTATCTTTTAGGTGGGGGCGTTTTTTTGTTATTTTGGCGGGGGTGCTATTTTTTGTTCTTTCTTTGTAATATCAACAACTTGGTTTTCAAAGATTCATTGTCACTATGATAAATAGGGAGAAAATTATTCTATAAAAAATATTCAATTTTTCGTACTTCTTTACAGAAGCGCAGGTATGAAAAAGACAGATTATTATAAATGAATCTCTTTGGATGAGTGTCGTCATCTTCGTTGTATTCTGAAAATGTCTGTTGCATCCGGTTACATTCCAGGTATTTCGAACTGAGTTTTCTAATCAACTGGTAGGAGTTGGTTGCTATCATTCCGTAGTACATGCTAAGAGACACAACTTGTAACAATTCATTTATCTTAGAATTTGGTTGGAAATTCCTTTTGGGCATATTACCGAATTAGGCGCCTAAACAAAGTCGGACGGTGCAATGGTCGAACTATTGGGATTACGTTACCCAAGATGAAGATACTAGAATAAATAGAC